GTATCTTTCAAGAATTTGAAGCCTGATTAAAAGAAACAGGGATAACATGAAGAAAAACAAAAAGTACAATCGATCAAACCCCCGGTTAACTGGAACGCAATGCATATTTATGAAATCTACTAGACGAAATCGGAACAATACCGTAATGAAAAATACAAACTTGGGTTCCGTTCACTCAAATGACACAATTCTCATTAAGTGAAAATGCTAATTTTCTCAATCTGCCTATAGGCCGCCACTGCGTATTCTGTCAGGTTTCAGTTTATTAACAGCAAAATGATTCGTTTCTGTCCTCTTACTAGACGCGAGTTCAGAAAGTAAATTCTAAGAAAACTTTAAGTGAATAAATGGCCCCTGAAAAATAATTACCAGTGTTATGTTGTGAATGATATACAATTATGCACTTCGTGATAATTAAGTTCCGCGAGAGGATAACTCAAAGTAACCCTGTGTTTAGTTGTTAGCTAAGCTGGATATTCAAAATCTGAAAACACAGGTTTCTCACATGGTATTTGAACACCTCGCTCAGCTAGGCAATTTGGTTGCGAACGTTTCATCACCAAACGAGCTGACGTCATCAACGCGGTGTTCAATAACCTGCAGCAAGTAGCTTAAGGTAGGGAAGCCTCGGTGAGAGTGCGTTGTGTTTAGCGCGTTTGCAATTTAAAATTTCCTGTGTTTGCTCACGGAAAGGAACAATCTTATTGGCCAGGACGTCTGCCTGCGTTCAGTATGTTAAGCAGGTAGTTAACATTGGAACTTGCGTAGTGCCTTTTGGTATTTGCCTCGTTACTCCAATGCTCAATTATCATGTTGGTCGCCTGCTTACTGCAGTGCTGAATTATCTCGTCCGCCTCGGAATTTTGGTATTCTGATCAACCGGATTTAGTTGATTGAGGTGGCGTTCTTTCGACTTAATTTTGGCTTAAGCTGCGTCAAGTTTAGTCTGTCGTTTAATTGAATTAGCAACAGAAACAAGGTTAACTATCAGCTTAAACGCAGCGTATGAGACCAGAAATAGATTAAGCAAACTGAAAGGAAGCTTTTTATAACGATTAATAAGCAGCGTCAAAATAAGAAGATATAATCTGAATTCCAGGGTTGCCTACATGAAGCCCAAGAAGGCTACCACTTCGATCTGGACAATGTGGATTCTTGCGTGCGGGAGTACAAAATATGCGAGGGAATTCTTGAAAGCATGGCACTCCACAGCTTATTCAATTAACCGACAGACTAAACTTGACGCAGCTTAAGCCAAAATTAAGTCGAAAGAACGCCACCTCAATCAACTAAATCCGGTTGATCAGAATACCAAAATTCCGAGGCGGACGAGATAATTCAGCACTGCAGTAAGCAGGCGACCAACATGATAATTGAGCATTGGAGTAACGAGGCAAATACCAAAAGGCACTACGCAAGTTCCAATGTTAACTACCTGCTTAACATGCTGAACGCAGGCAGACGTCCTGCCAATAAGATTGTTCCTTTCCGTGAGCAAACACAATAAATTTTAAATTGCAAACGCGCTAAACACAACGCAATCTCACCTAGGCTTCTCTACCTTAAGCTACTTGCTGCAGGTTATTGAACACCGCGTTGATGACGTCAGCTCGTTTGGTGATGAAACGTTCGCAACCAAATATCCCAGCCCAGCTAACAGTTCAATTGCCGGTTTTAGGCATTTTGGTTATTTCGTGTCAAAGTATGCAATATATTTATTTGCCATTGTGGGTTAGCCCGTCTTTTATATCAAAATTCTGCTTTTGTTACTGCGTGCGTTTTGTAATTTTTATTGTCGTTTGCTTTGTGCCCGGATCTCCACTGTTATCACTTTGACATTTTTAATGTTTGCATGATAGTATACTTCTACTCCTATAGCTTGATACTGACAAGCCAAGATGAATATTTAACTGTCTACCAGCTGAAATCTTTATCGTTTATTTAAATGGGCGCAATTTATTAGGCATTGACCGAGCTAGCTTTTTCAGTAATATGACGTACAGAAATAGAATTGCAATCAGGCTGAATTATGCACTTTCACTGTTCAGTTTGCCAATTATCATTAACAAGTCAACTGCCGTGGCTTACTGAGAACGTTCGACTAGCAATTGTGACAAAATTATTTATGTCAACCTTCCCCTTCAAGTCGTAAGCCCTATAGGTAATTCAACTATAATCGTTATATGTTATTAATGAAAGAAAATGTTCGCATCCGCTTCTGATTACATGTTGCGCATTATGTTTTTTAAAAATTACACTGTTAGTGCTCTCTATAAATACACTACAAAATTAGGGATCCATCAACATTTTTAACAATGTAGCATGCGGTTTTAAACAAGCGAACTTCAGTGAATCATATTAAACAACAGACAACTCAATCTTAAGCATTTGTTGCATTATAAATGTTTATTTTTCTGATATTTATGTAGTAACTAACACCAGGGAAGTGATCATTTTAACATGTACAGTTCGAAGACGATTCAGCAAAAGCTATTTCACAAGTGAATCAAAGACGAATTGGCATATTTCGCAGCACGCATCAGAAAAACAAAGCTAATTACAGATCCGGCTACAACCGTAGAAAATTATACATCTGGGGACACATTGCTCAATATGCCGCTAATAAGGATTTGCAAATTTTGGAGGTAACAAATGACAGGTTCTGATTGGAACAACACAGAACCAAAAATCACGCCATATCTAAAAAGTGATGTGCTAGGAGTAAAGTAAACTAGTTGAAATATTCATGTTTCTAAAAAAGGTTGCAGAAAGACTTATGCTTTCTTTTGAGAGTGAATTTTCATTACGGTCAGCGGAATTTAAAAAACCAGGTATTCGACGAATTTCATCGTTTTATAAATTCAGCGAAGTCCAGTGAAAGTTAATGGATCGAATAAAATGCAAGCGCGTACATCGTATGATATATTAAATGGACGCGAAAATGAGCACAATTCGGATCGTAGAAATGAATTCGTATTTAACTGCATGATGGCCACGCGATATAATTATAGAGTAGAAGCGCAGCCCAAAAACAACCGAAATCTTGTCCTCCGTTGGAAAAAGCCGATAGAGATAGATATAGTGCAGTAAATATTCCAAAAGCATAAGCGATTACGAAAAGTAAAGTGCGAAAAATTTGTGATATTGAAAACAACTGAAACCGACCAGAAGAATTACGACGGGCAATGAGCTAGCATGCAAACAAACAAAGAAAAACAAGCAAAATAAATATTTAACGGCAAAAATTCAAATTAGAACAGCGTGCCGCATCGCTAGAAAGGAAATAACCTAAGAAACAGTTTTAGGTTATGATACGTAAAAAAAGGAAATATACAAGACCTTAGTCAGATTAGATTCCTACTATTTGAAAATGGGTGATTAATTCGGGTGGGTGAAAGAGAACCATAAAAACAACTAAAAATTATTAGGCGTTTTCTCTCTTAAAATGTCTCACTTGGTCTTATGGGTGTATAACGCTTGTATTACTGCATATGAGTACACGCGTACTTGCCCGTGTCTTCCATCGTGAAGGCGCTGGATAATGCACGGATAGTAGTGTTGGAGCCGACCTACGGCACACAATAAAGCAAGTTCCCCAAACGATCATTATGCTATTTAGGGCTCGTTGGAATGGAGACAAATGTACAAAATGGAAAAAGTGCTGCCGCATAACACATGACATGACATACCACATAAC